CGACGTACGGGTACAGTGCTGGAGCTGAAATGATTATAGTGTGAGTGAGGATCGTCACACCTACTGGTGCTACCCCAGTAAAGTAGGGACTGTCAGTCCATGTGCTGGAACTTTGGGGAGCCCCAGCAGAGATTGGTACAAAGCTGCTATCATGCACTGGGATCAAAGCTTCCCCCAGTGTCCTGTGTAGGGAGAAGAGCCAAGTGTTCCGGGGACAGATCTCAAACTTCTGTGAACTGCAGAAAAGTGGTGCGCTGTGCCTCTAGCGGTTAACTGCTTTCTAAAGGGGGTGACCCATGTTGTACTTGTGTCTTTATAATCTATACGAATATACTTAAAGTACTTTGCAAATGAACTACATCTACTCTGAGACTAATTAGTTATCTTATAGGCTCTCTTCCTGCGTATGGCTGGCTGCCTGCCAGTCACTGTAAAATCTTAATCAACTAGTGTTTAAGCTGAATTTTACATGGTAAAGAAAGTGTTAGAAATTCTGTATATAACCCTACAGAATAGACAGTACACAGTCCACATGTGTTTTTCTTGCTTCAATACAACAAGGAAACAGGAAACTTTATTCAGAGAAAGACATAGAGTATACCATAGATGCAGCTACAAACTTAAAAACACTGCCATCTACTGGTTGAAGAATATACCTCTACTGAATACTGATGTAGTTGTTGCACAAAATATATGAAAACAGTATTCAAACAGAAAGGTACAGCTATATGGGTAATGATACCAAGGCAGTTTCAGATACTTCCACTCGCTGCTTTTTAAAAATACACAATTATTTTTTTCATGAACATCTACCTGGGTGAATTAATTTAATATCTATCTAGTATTCTAACGAGACGAATAACATGTCAGCATTAGACTTTTCTTTTCTTCATTTATTTCCCACTTTTGCCTTATATCTACATAGGATTAGTGTTAATGTGATGTTATTTCAGAGGATATTTATTCATTGTCAATTTTTTAGTGAATACTGTCAGTAAAATATATATCTCCACTGTGCTTGCTATTCAAACTGCTCCCTGGCTACAATGCTCGACTTCAGGTATGTGGGTAACCCCTATTACCTAAAAAGTCCCTGGGACTATGAAGTGTTCCTGGTACTTTTGGAATCTCCACTTCACACAATTTTCCATTCTGAACATCAAGGTTACATGCAGCTGCTCTCAGCACTACACACACAGATAGCGCAAGTGATACAGAATCAAAGCAGCATCTCTCCTGCTACTCCAAAGTGGGGATTTATGGTTCACAAACTACAGTACATTTTATAATAAACAAACCAATTGTAATGCGTTTCATTCAATGCGCCTATGTATTTATTTTTGTTAAAGATCCACTGTCACTCACCACTGTGGTTGAAGAGGAGGAGTGACTTTGGTTCTATGTCTCTTGCACTATGTATGACTCTGGGAGTAGCTGTTTAAAACAGGAGGGTGCACGAAGTGGAGTCTCTGGCAGGACTCCATAGGTCCCAGCAGGCACAGTGGGCGCTTACATAGCTCTAGTAGGGCAGCAAGGCTGGGGGACAGTCTAAGGAGCAAGCACAGAGAAGAAAAATTGAAAAAAAACAACAGCAAGAGCAGGTAAGTCCTGCTATCGGTGTCTAATTTTACAAAATAAATGGCTTTAATATCTCTCTAAGTTACCTGCTTTGCAAATATTCAGAATGTGTATTTATGGACATGTAAGTGAACCATTAATATGGGTTATCACCACTCAACAGGACTGTTTTGCAAGTCAGAGGATCAAGTGTATTAAACATATGCTGGCAAAAAAAGTCAGACGTCTCCTTTTATTAAACAGGATATTTTATTTTGCATTGTCTTGCCCAGTGCCTTTCAACTTTGTTCAAACATCTCCTAAAATTGATTTTTCTGTGGCTTTGCAAGTCTATCAAGACATCTCAGTGCAGGAAGAAGATGTCGACTCTTGTTGATGTGTGGACAATAGTGCCATCTTTCTGGAAAGAGAAAAGCAGATGATGAAAAACATTGTCAGGAGGAGCACTGTGATCTCTGTGAGAGGTAATAAATATCTGTAAGTGTTACACTTACACATTACTAAGCAAATGTGCACTTATGAAAAGATATATCTGATGCCAAGTATACTTTAAGGACTGTAGTTGCACAAATCTCCTCTATTTAAGCATGAATAATAATACCTTTCAAGCCTCTAGACACATCTGACACTCTGGGATCAAACATATTTCAACAGTATAGGATAATAATGCAATAGACACAATTCTTTAGTAGCACCTGTATATTAGTCTTATTCAAAAGAGTAGACCACAAAAATAATGGGTTTAGGATATACAACCCCAGTTAACACATAAAAATAGAACACTAGTAAAATAGAATTAATCAATTATCAATGTTTAACAAATTATACAGTCATGAGTAGTAAGCTTCAACTATTAAACTGCAACACCAGCTTGTTGACTTATCAGCTCCCTCTAGGCCACCAGTGCTGCAATGGTGGATACAGAGAATTATATAAATATATACTTCAACATAAATAGATATAAGTATCCTAATTTGAATAACACTGGCCTTAGAAGAGAACCCTTTAACTAAAGATTGCAACTTGAGTCTTGTGTTGTTTAAAGTTCCTGATAGAGGTGCACATGTGCGGGCGGCCGGAGCGGATGTCCCGGTGAACCGCTCCGCACCCTCCTAGCACATCCAGCTTACCACAGTGGACACCCAACCTCACCCAGGTTCCCCAACCACACCGATCACCTCTGGGCAACATAGAGCCCTTCCCCATGCCAAGCCGAGCAGCTGGAAAGAGCCGAAGCAGCTTCCAGCACCCGATCCATGTGGCAGGAAGTGGTGGCAAGAGGGCTGCAGTTCTTCTCTGCAAAGTAAGCCTCTACCCCAGCGGATCAAGTTCGGCACTTCCAGCACTGGAGGTCGTGGTGTGGGCCCTATTGCTACTACTAAGGGGGTAAGTGAGCTCCTTCAATCCCCCCATCCCTCCTCCAGCCCTGCTGCATCTCCATCACAGACCTCTGCTTGCTTCTTAGGCCATGACTCCCACACTTCCTCTGTCCTGAATAAGGAGATGGCTGATATTTTCCTCAGCAAAAATAGTAGTGTGGATCCTGATCTGGATAGTCCTGAGGGATCACAAACACCTTCGCTTAGTCCACTGCAGTATTCGAGAGACACAGTCCTTATTGCCCGCTTTGCTGATTTGTTACAGCAGGAACTGGATAAGGCTATTACTAAGCTAGCAGCTGATTTAAAAAAGGGTTTACAGGAATTGGGCCAACGTCTGAATAGTATTGAATCTAAAGTAGACACCACTGTCCATAATGTATCTCAAAATTCTAACATGATTACTGAGCTACAAGACCAGCTGGAAGAAGCTTATACTAAAAATGACAACTTGGAAAACCACGCCCGACGCTACAATTTACGTATCCAGGGGCTCCTGGAATCGGTGAAAGACCTTACTACCCTTACACATTCACTCATGCAATCTGCAGTGCCTGGGATTGATGACCTCCATATGGAAATTGACCACATGCACATGGCCCTGATTCCCCCTAAAGTGGAGTTTCTTCCTAGAGACATTATTGTCATATTTAATTTTATTTACTCAGTGACAGGAGTGATTACCCTCGGATATCTTCAAGAAATCTATTAAACTGATTCTTTACAAGAATTACAGTTGCCAAATATTGGGAAGCAATCAGTGATACTACTTGATTATGTAAAAAATAAGCTTAATTGGTCATGATTAATGACACTCACCTGTATTTCTAATAATAATGAGTCAAAATTTGACAGTACTTGGGATCTGTGGATTCTATACCTCTCCATCCCTAATGAGACCATGGCTGAACCTTGTTTACTTTACCCTTCCTTCTCTGCTCTTTTTCTCACTTTCTTTTTCATTATTGTTTTTAACATCTTTAGTTTCCAACATTCCATTTTGCTGTATTACATACTGGTGCCTGACTACAGGCTGATAATGCTTATGGTTAATTGTTTTTCAGAGTGCACTATATACCAGATTTCTATTTACTGTTGTGGTTTATTCTCCTTGTCTGTAGACTGCATCAGAGGGACTATTTGGTCCCGTCCAATTTTTTCATCTCTCTATTTAATGTCCGTGTCATTTATTTTCACAATTGATTCGTGTTTTAGAATTTATGACTTTCTCATCAGTTGGTGCTGTTGGTCTGTATGTTTGTTTCTTTTAATAAAAACATTGAACTATAAAGTTCCTGATATGGTGTCCATTGTTTTCTGCTAGCAATGGTGATTCATTTAATGAAGTTAAACAGATAGGCTGTGGTACTGCTCAAAGCAAAAGATCTCCTGGTACTGAGGTGTAAAGGTGTCTGCATGCAGTGTCTCTAGAGCATGACTTCTCAACCAGGGTTCCTCCAGAGGTTGCCAGGGGTTCCTTGAGAAATGAGCAATGCTTGCCTCTCAGGTAAGTTCCCACTGACACCATTGATCTTTTCAGCAATCTGTAATCTGTAAGGGGGTAATTCTTCCCAATGACCACAAGTGTAAGGAGCATTGTAGATAAAGCCATTTAACAGGGGTTCCCTGAGACCGGAAAGTTACATCAAGGGTTCCTCTGCGTTGAAACGGTTGAGAAAGGCTGCTTTAGAGTGTTGTCAGAAAGAGGTAGGGGCATCTGCCCACTCACCAATTCTATGCATAGCACAGCCTCCAAGGAACTGGGTACTTGCCCATGATCTTGGTTGTTTGTAGAGAAGTGCAGAGTTACCACCTGACAGTCTGTTAGCGCAGTGAGCAGAGATGTCTGTGCGAGGACCAGACAGTGACAGTCCCCATGCAGAGAAGCTGATGCGATTCTGGTGTGGCAATTGGCGTCACTACTATGCTGACTGATGTGTCCTGAAACAGTAGGCCAACAATCTGTCTCTAGAGGGGAACGTCAGTCTCCCTGGATTAACCACTTGCCCTCCAGAAGATTTACTCCCAGGGGCAGACTGACCATTTGGAAACTCGGGCACTGCCCGAGGGCCCGGGGTCAGTAGGGGGCCCCATGAGATGCCCCTGGTACCTTTTTCATAGGCTTTTTTGAGTTTGAGCAAGGACACAGGGGCCCCATGATCCCCTATTGAATATACTGCCTTGCATCCACCCACTTCTAATGGTGGGCAGAGATTAGGTCACATGGTGCCACATGAGCCAATTCCAAGATTGTACAAATGTCTAAATAGTGGTACGCTTGAATAAAAATTGTCCACGTACAAGTGGTACCCACATGGAAAAAGAATGACACCAAGTTTCAAACTATCTTCAAACTACTCTCCATGTAGTCTGGGCATCCAGGGGACTCCAATTGACTTTCTTTTTCCTCATAAATCCGAAACGTATATGTATAGCCTGTTGCCCTCTCACAGGTCTTATACATCTTGATCCCATATCAGGCACACTTGCTGGGGAGAAACTGTTTGAATGCAAGGCGGCCAGAAAAATTAATGAGGGACTCATCAACGCAGATTTTTTGCTGGGGAGTATAGACATCTGCAAATTTTTGGTTAAGGTGATTTACGAGATTGGCTGTGTTCTGTAAACACATGTACCGAACAACACTGGCCTGAATCTGTTGATTGATCGGTGCAGCACCGAATCACGGCACTGCGGGGTCAGCGGGTGCAAGCACGCGTGCCCCTGGCCTGCGATCAGGGTAGGAGAGTGGATCACATATATATATATATATATATATATATATATATATATATGTATATATATATATATACGTGATTTTGCACAGTGAGTCCACTCTTTGGTACAGTAATCCTGCTACAGGGTGGAGCTTAAGTTCTGAATCCCATGGCAAGAGAGCAAGCCAGTCCCTTGCTGTAGAATATATGTGCTGTCCCAGCATCCTTATGGTTTGCCAGCTCTATGGTAGTTGTAGTTCTATCAGCACCCAGAAATACTTTATAAATTGGCTATAGGACTACAGGTTCCGAAGATCCTCAGCTGTCAGAAAAACTTGATCCACTCTGCTAACAGGAAGTGATGTAGCAGTCCCAGTACTGGGCACTAGGGGGAAAGGGATTAATCATAGTTTCATCTGTAAATGTCCCTGAAAGGCATAATGATATAGCCAGCACCAGGCTATAATCTTATAATGAAACAAAGTTAAAATACTGGTTACGGCAGCACCTCCCAATGGAGGACAGAATCATTTTACTGCTCGCGTATTGGCCTTTCATAGGGCTGTTTCTTAAGTATATGGCTAGACTATTTCTGTATTTGGAGCACAATGTGCTTGAATACTTATTTTTCCAAAATAGGAAAACAGGTTGAGAAACACAGGACAAAGGGTAGTGCTATAAACTGCAACTGGGGTTCAAACATTTAGGACCAGTATAGGATGTAAGGATATGACATTCTACAGTGAAATGTGATGCATTGTTGGATAATTTAGCACTTACTAAGGGAAACCTATAATGGGTTCCTAAGTGTATTAACCCCAGCCAGTACTAAAATGTGTTGTTTGTCACTTTCTTCTTCTAAATAAACTGCTTTACTTTACTATCAATTGAGAGAAACAGGAATTCTGAAACAGGTTCTACTGATGCTTACAGAAGGTTTGAACATGGGCAAACAGAAAATATCTGATGACCATCCCCTGTATGAGCTTATCTTTAAAGAACAACTTCACTCGCTAAATCAACATTGACTATTTTTAATCCTTACGCTGCTAGCATTAGTAAATAAGTAGGAAAGTATATCATATTTACTTGTTTAAACCTTTTTTCCCATTTTTTAAGTTGTTTCCTGGGTTACATGCCTTGGCAAATGATGACATACATCCCAGGAGTCTTCAGCTAAGTACACCATCCTGCATGCATGTGTGAGCTAAGGGCAGATGGATTCCAGAAAGTAAATGCTATATGAATCATCTGGCCTTACTCAAGATAGCCACGTGCAGAAATGCTGATTTCTCAGGAAAATAAAACATGGAATCATGGATGGATGGGGGAATTTGTTTTGATTTTTAAAAATGAATACATTTGTATTTTTGGTGCTCAGATGTAGTGTAGTTCTGCTTTAAGGCCTCATGCACACAGGATGTCTTTTTTTCTTTCCCCTGGACACCTTTGCTCAAGAGGAGAAAACTACAGCTGAAAAAACATTCCTAAAGCTGCATTTTTGCATGCATGTTGTTGTGCATTAATGTGCAATTATGCATCTCCATGTGTTTCGCTTTAATACATTTGATTGTCCAGATTATTAATTTATTCTAGTCATTAGAATGCATTAATGCACATTTTGCATTTTTTCTGCCCAAATCTCCTCTCCTGAATGTGATGTTGGTGCATTTCTTTTTCTGCACTACACGTTCCTGCAAACAGGAATCTTACCCAAGCTCAACCACTATATATTAGAATGCATGCTGAAGACTGGTGCACAATCTGAGACGTATAACCCCCCCATAATGATTCCAAAGCAAAAAGAAGCCGGCAACCCAGTGTGCTCTTCTGGTTACTCTTTATTGGCTATGTGCATGGACACATATAGTAACATAAAGTGGGCCTTTAGAGGCAGAACAAAAAAAGTCAAATACATATAAAAATAGGTGTTTTTGACATTCTGTATGCATGAGGCCTGTCATGCCACAGTATTATTTTTGGCTAGTGTCCCAGGAGGTTGGATGCATTTGTCTCAGCTTTTCTTATTTAATTTTTGTTTTTTTCTTCCATCAAGATACTGGGTACTTTGTAGATATTATTTTCTAGCTGCATGAGATCATCTCCATGCAGCAGCTATCAGGATTAGTGTATCCTCAGCAACACCTTTGGAAGCTGTACCTGGAACCCATTGGACTAGATAATTGCAGAGATAGCCTGAAACCTTTGAGTGCTGGGCTTTGCATTGTGGCAGTTTCCAGACCTTTGTGTACTATAACTATGATACACCAAAGGCAAATAGACTGTACACTTTGCAAAGTGCAGTTGCACTCTGCAAGAGCAGTTGCTCCAGAGCTTAGTAAATGAGCAGAAGCTCTGCTGATTTCCATCATCCAATCATGTGCATGCAAAATGCTGTTTTTTAAATTTCCTTGCATGTGAATGGGTGTTGTTTACAAAGTGAAGCTTTACCTCATTACTAAGCTCTGGTACAACTGCACTTGCAGAGTGCAACTGCACTTTTCAAAGTGCACAGTCTGTTTGCCTTTAGTAAATCAACTCCAAAGTGCTCTCCAGGTCCAGGACCATGGCACAACCTCATGTGTGACCCTGTCTCTGAATACCTATTCTGTGAGCAGGCCTCTGGACTTGGAAAGGCTATCCTGGAATTTTTACCTTTGGACACTGGACTCTGCATTGTGGCACATCCCAGACCCTTGTGTGCTGTGCTGATTAGTTGTATAGTGCTTTCTTTGTCCAGATCTGCATCACAGCCTCTGGTGTGATCCTGTCTCTGAAGGCTCACTCACTCACTCAATAAAGGCTCAGTTACATATAATTGCATACAATAGTTGGTAAGGTTGACTAAAGATACCAGTCCATCCAATTCAACCTAAAAGTGTGAGTGTGACCACTATTTTCCATATCCCTTCTGTTCACTAAGAAACACATCTAAATGTTTTTTTGAACTTATCTACAATCCCTGATAACACCAACAATTGTGAAAGAGAATTTCACATCCCTACCTCCCTAACAGGAAAAACCCCACTTATGTGGTTTAAGATTGAACCAACTTGTCCAACTTCATTGTGTGGCCACATGTCTTTTTGGAGACCCAAGATCATAACGTTTCTTCCCTATACTAGAGTCCCCATTTAAGGATTTGTATATTGCAGTCATATCCTCTCTTAAGCTTCGCTTCTCCAGGGAGAATAGATTTAATGTTTGTATTTGTTCCACATAACACCTTGGTTATTATACGCTTCCTTGTTATTCATATAAAATGAGCAAAAGAATATGTATAATACAGCTGTCTTCGACATGTCACTTGTGACCAACTTACCCAGATCATATTTTATGGGGCCAATATATTCTGACCTCACCTTTTTGCTATTAATATGTTTGAAAAAAAAAATGTAGGATTCTTTGACTATCCTCAGCAATGTGTCTTTCGTAATTTATTTTAGTTGTCCTGATCACACTCTTGCATTTCGTATTGCAATCTTTGTAGTTTTGGAATGCTGATAATGACCCTTTGGCCTTATATTTCTTAAAGGACCATTTTTTTGAGTTAATATGGCTTTTTACATTAGTGCTTAGCCACCCAGGTTTAACTTTTGTTCTGTTATATTTGTTGCCCAGTGGAATGCACTGACGAATGCTGATTTTTAATATGCCCTTAAAGGTCTCCTACTTATTTTCATGGTTCTTTGTTGCAAGAATTTGATCCATGTTAGTGTCATATAGTATGGAGTGCAGCTTATTTAAGCTGTCTCTTTTAAAACTTAGTGTTCCTGTCCTACCCTCATGTGCCCTTTTCCTATATTTATGGCAAATTTAATTACTCTGTGATCACTGTTATCTAAACCTGTCCCTAATGTGAGCTGTCAAACCAGGTTTCTGATATTCCCAGAAAGTCAAAATCCTTCACATTTAGATGTTCTAGTCCCTCCATTTTATTAACCAGACTTTTAGCATTGGGGTACATGCCTTTTAATTTTGTACACATGCGTACTTTATCCTTGCATGCGCTTTGATGCCCCTTAGGTTCAGCATACCTGGCCAGCCCTGGCCAATGGGTGCCATTTTATATTCCCCACTGTTTTCACTGAGGCAAAAGTCAAGGGTGACAGGTTGAGTGCTGCACAGATGCACTCTCTTTCCCACCATTCAGCCTAGAGGAAGCATCATCCAGTTGTTGGTTGTGAAGAACCAAGCGGACTTTCATTCTCCAGTTCCATTCCACCATTAACCTACAGTGAAGCAGTCATCTGGCCACCTGAAGCCCTCATCAGCACCAGCTTCTTGGGATTGTAAGTACTTTAGGCCTTCAAGTTACACGGGGCAACATGTTTTCTCAAAGACATACAGGGGACCTTCCCTTTACTACAAGTGGCCCATATTCCCCTGTTCT